GACGTCTCTTGCCCTATGGGGAAAAGCTCTCTCAAAAAAAAAAAAAAAAAGCTTGGGGTCAGAAGCATTCTGGATTTTGGAATTACGTGCATCTAAGTTGACCCTTGAACAATGTCAAGGGTCACAAAAATTTTTTTAAGAGAGATTTTTGCTACAGGGTGCGTGCACTTACCAGAGCGACAGAAAGTGAGAAATCACCTTCCAGAGGGGATGGGCATGCTGCGATCCCTTCTGCAATCTCCTCTTAGGATTTTGGGCACGCACACATATGTGCCTGGCACGAGTTTTTTTTAAGTCTCAGGGTCAACTACGTGGGAGTCCAGGGATGTAACCATTATGCCATCCGCTGATCCCCGAGGTAAACCTTTTGATTCTCTCAAAACTTACCTGCCAATAGCCTACTATTGACCAAAAACCTTATCCATTACTTGAATAGCTAGTTAACACATATTTTGTACGTTCTATACAGTGTATGCTATACTCCTTCAATAACAGAAGCTAGAAAAAGGTTTGAAGAAAATCTTGATAAGAGACATTTATACAGATATTGCTATTATTACTTTTTTAAATAGAGACTTTTGCTATAGGGCACACGCACTCGCTGGAGAGAAAGAGACAGAAAATGAGAAATATTCCCCCGGAGGGATGGCCACAATCTCTCCTCCTCCATTTTCCTCTTGGGATTTGGGCATGTACACACATGTGCCTGGTGTGAGCTTCAAGTCACCAGGTCCTGGACTTAAAACCATGGTCGACTACGGGGGAGTCCAGTAATGTAACCATTACGCCATCTGCTGGTCCCACTATACTGTATTTTTAGGACACTTATTAAAAAAAAGGTCATATATAAATGGACCTATGCTGTTCAAATCCCTCTTGCTCAAGGGTCAGCTGTACGTAATGAGATATATTAGGGATAAGACCCAAATCTAAACATATGATGTGCTCATCTTTCAGATACACCTTATATATACAGCTTGAAGGTGATCTAACATTTGCATACCACAGCATTTTGGCTGCAACCTGCTATAAGGTTAGGAGCAGAATTTTCCACTTTTTTCTTTTTTTTTTTTTAAGAGGTTTTTGCTAAAAGGCGTGTGTGCTCGCCAGAAAGACAGAGACAGAAAGTGAGAAATCAACCCCCCGGGAGGGGGGGCCACACCGCAATCCCTTCTCCTCCATTCTCCTCTCAGGATCTTGGGCACGCACACACACGCGTCCAGAGTGAGTTTAAGTTTTAGGGACTCGAATCGCGGTCGGCTACATGGGAGTCCAGCGACACAGCCATGACGCTAACTGCTGGTCCCTAGAACTTTCCACTTTTAGTATCATGCCTATGTTCAAAAGTTTTGGTTTGTGCAGTGTTTTGGATTTCAGATTTTTGGACTAGGGATGTTCAACCTGTACTCTGCTTTTAGTAACTTGAATACGGTCTTACCTCTTGACAGTATAATTCTGACAACAGACTGGCTGCTTCAAATTTAACATCTTCAAACTGCGGGATCTAGTGACGTCAAGTTAAGGATGTACAGACACTGAAAAAGAGGTCAGTTAAAAAGGGCCACAGGGGCCAAGCGGTGGTGCAGCTGTAATGCAACTGGATCACACGGGAGAGGTCCTGAGTTAGTGTCCTGGGACCTCCCGGAGCAGGCCGGTTACACACGTGTACCTGTGAACTGGGCTGGCTGAGGCTTGAGGTGGATCACCTAAAGGCCCTGTTGGGAGCACTTATCTCTCTATCTCTCTCTCATGGAAATAAACAAACTGTAAAGGAATTATAAAAGGGCCACAGCTCAGAGTCCCTACACTGCAGAAGTCTCGTATTTCCCAGTGGTCCCTGAACCGGCTGCAGACGAGGTGCAGAGCTAGATGCCGGCAGAAAGGGGAGCGGAAAGGGGCCAGCACCGTGTGGGAAGCTGCTGACCTCTTGGGAACAGGGATCTTCCAGATGGTCTGTGGGGCGAAGCCTAAACTCACAAGGTAAGTGGTGAGGTGGGATTCCAAGTTTTCTACACATTCTTTATATTCAAAGAGGATTTCTTAAAGGGAATGGTACTAACAAGAAAAGGATACTTGTTGTGATATCAACCACTGAAAGAGAAAGAGAAAAAGGTTAATTCTCGGGTGACCCCTCAGCACCTGGTTTGTACAGGCTGTTGTTACCAAATGCTGCCAGGTGTCCAGTTACGTGGGAAGGTGGCCTGCTTGGCCTGAGAGGGTGGGTTCGCTTTCTTTCTAATCCAGCAATAGGAGTGGAACCTACGGAGCATGCAGAGGGTGAGTGGGGAAGAGCAGAAATCTCCTTCTGACATCAGGAGGAGAGGCCGATTCTCCGAAGTCAGATCCTTCTCCCGATGGTGAGGATAGCTTCAGACGGGGAAGGAGCACAGAGGTGATCTGGCCCCACTTGAGGGCCCCAGGTGCCACCCTGCTGTAGGGCTGACAGTAGGCAGAGAGGACAGTTCAGCAAAGCCTTCCAAAGGGAAATCAGTTTACGAGTAGGAGTCCGCCTACAGGTGGGGAGGAGTCTCATCCTTCCTGAAGAAGTCACATTTAAAAGATGCCTTGTGTGAGGCTGGCCCACAGGGAAAGGTTTCAGGTTTGCACCAGGAGGCCTCCCTGAGTACACTGGGCTCTGTGTGACCATGGACCCAGCCTGGCTAAGGCTGAGGGTGGATTGTGGCATCAGGACCCTGCTGGGGGGAATGCACATTCTCTTTGACTCTCTTGCTCATGGAAGAAATAAAGAAACCTTAAAAACAAATGAACAAGAACCTTGCTGACTACTGGAAGGAGCACCCAGGGCTGAAGAGAAGATCCTAACATGCTGTGCTCTATGGAGGAACGAGCATGAGATTAGGGGGGTACTAAGGCTGGGCCTTAGGTAAGGGCATGGGAATGGGGGAGAGCTCCCCCAGCTAAGAGGGCAGAAGGTAAGAAGAGCACATGAGAAAGGCCTGGAGGGCCCAGGAGGTGAGGCCAGGGGGCCTGATGGATCTCTGTGCCACTTGTGGGATAGCAGTGGCTATGATTCTAATTGTGGGTCAGAATCCCTCAACTTAACCGTATAGCCTGACCCAGTCAAAGAAAAAAACAATTTTTTAAGAGGTTTTTGCCATAGGGCACATATGCTCGCCACAAAGACAGAGAGACAGAGAGACAGAAGATGAGAAATTCCCCCCTGGGGGGATGGCCTCACCGCAATCCCTTCTCCTCCATTCTCCTCTCGGGATCTTGGCACGCACGCACACGCGCCTGGCGTGAGTTTAAGCCACCGGTCCAGGACTCAAACCGTGGCCGACTACATGGGAGTGCAGCAACATAGCCATTACGCCAACTGCTGGTCCCTCAAAGACAAAATTTTTGTCTCTCTTTTTTTTTTTTTTTTAAAGTTTTTTGCCATGTGCTCACTGGGAGACAGAAGAAAAGTGAGAAATCACCTCCCAGAGGATGGTCACATGGGCCTGGTGTAATTTTCAAGTCATTGGGTCCAGGACTTGAATTGTGGTTGGCCCTGTAGGAGCCCAGCACCTCAACCACGTACCATCTGCCAGCCCCCCAGCAGTGGGGGAAGATTTTAAGACCATTCTAGACACACAGAAAAGAGAATGCATAGCGAGGGGCTGGACAGTGGTGCAGTGGTAAAATGTGAAGCTCTGCAAGCCAGAGCCACACGGGAAGGTTCTGGGTTAGCCTCTGCATACCTCCTTGAGTAGGCTGGATATGTGTGTGTCCGCATTCTGGGGTTGCCTGAAGCTGGAGCAGGATTATGTCATCAAGACCCTGTTGAGGGTACTGTCCCTCTCTCTTTCTGTCTCTATGTCTCCCTCACTTACGGGATAAATACATAAAATTTAAAAAGAGAAAAAAATACATGGAGAGAGGGAGGAGTCAGAGTGGCCTTGGGGTCAGTGGCTGGCCAGCAGAGATGTCTCTGGAGCTGAGGAAGTCAAAAAAGCAGGAAAGACGTGGTGGCGTGTCTGAGACCAGCTTCCTGCAAGACATAGGTGGCCCAGCAGGGGGAGCTATGGGACAGACTAAGAGAAAGGAGAGAGAAAGACCCTGCCAGGAGCAAGAACCCACACACACAGACTGACCTGCCCTACTGATACCTAAGAATACAGTCTCGTGAGAAGATAGTCTTTTCTTTTTTAAAGAATTATTACTATTGTTTGAATCTTTCTTTCTTCCTTCCTTCTTTCTTTTAATTTGATCAGAAAGGGACAGAGTGAGAACGAGAGAGAGCAAGCTACCAAGTCTCAGACTCGAACCGTGGTCAGTCACGTGGGAATCCAGTGCCCCTAACCATCACACCACCAATCCTGAGAATTATTTAATTTTATTTACTTATTCATTTATTTTAATTTGACCAGAGAGAGGCACAGAGAAAGAGAAAGTGAGAAAGCATGTCACTAGGTCTGGGACTCGAACTGTGGTCCACCATGTGGGAATGTCCAGCACCTTAATCACGCCATCTGCTGGCCACTGAGAATACAGTCTTGATTGTCTGCCTCCTCTTGTACCCTCCCGAGGCTCCCCTTGTAACAGGGACAAGAGAGGTTTGGGGTATCCAGAGGAGGGTGGTCAGTGCCTGCAACTAGGAGTGCAGTCCACAGGCAAGGCTCCTCAGTTGGTGGGGAGAGCGGAGAGGAGTTGGTGATTGGCTGTGTTCCTCAGGAGCCACTCCTCCTCACACGGCCAGCCCATGTGAGGGTCCAGTCTAGCAAGAGAAGCTCTGGAAGGCCACCAGTCACAGAGAGAAAGGACACTGTGACTGAGGTGCTAGGCTGGAGTCTTGCCATGATTCTGCCCACCCCAAGATCCAGTGGTTCTGAGATTCTGTCACCACAGGGCTGGCAAGAACTCTAAGCCCTTTCCAAGGGGAGCCCCTTGGAGAGAGTCTGCAGTAGATAAAGGACGTGTTGCATACAGACCCCTGGCCTGGGTGGGCAAGATGGAAAGCCAGCAGTCGGCTAGCTGAATCAGGCCTAGCCATGTCTCAGACCTATGATAAAGCTGAGCCCATTTAAGTGTTGACTATTTCACAAAATGTATTCAGTTATTACTTCAAAAAAAAAAAAAACTTAAAATTTTTTGGGACCAGCAGATGGCATAATGATTATGTCTCTGGACTTCCATGTAGTCAACCACAGTTCGAGTCCTGGATGCCTAAAATCCCAAGAGAAGGGTAGAGGAGAACGGACTGCAGCATGGCCATCCCCCCTGGGGTGTGATTTCTTGTTTTCTGTCTCTCTGGTGAGCGCATGTGCCCTATAGCCAGTCTCTCAAAGAAATTATTTTAAAATTGTATTTATTATTATTTTTTAATTTGCTATAGGACATGAGCACTTACAGAGAGACAGAAGAGAGAAAAAAAACAAGTCGCCAGGTACGAGGCTAGAACTGCAGTCAGCCAAGTGGGAGTACAGTCCATTAACCACCACACTACCTGCCGGCCCCAAGTTACTAATTTTTTTTGGGGGGGATAGGTTTTTGCTATAGGGTGCGTGCGCTCGCCAGACAGACAGAGAGAGACACAGAGACAGAAAGCGAGAAATCACCCCCCAGAGGGGATGGCCACGCTGCAATCCCTTCTCCTCCTTTCTCCTCTCGGGATCTTGGGCACGCACGCACACACGCCTGGCGTGAGTTTTAAGCCACCGGGTCCGGGACGTGAACCGCGGTCAACTATGTGGGAGTTCAGCAACATAGCCATTATGCTAACTGCTGGTCCCCAAGTTACTACTTTTTAATTGCCAAAGGTTGCATGTACTTATGAGACAGACAGACAGGGAAAGTGAGAATGCAAACTGCCAGGTCCGGGACTCAAAATATGGTCAGCCATGTGGGAGTTCAACGCTCTTAACCACCACTCCACCTGGCAGACCCCAAATACTGACATGCTTTGTTTTTTTTTTTTTTTTTTTTTTTTTTTGAGGTTT